TCTAAATAAAACAGTTTGTATCCCCCTCCAATGCTACGCGCTTTGCTACCCTTCCACCTGGTCTCCTGCACACACAGTATATCTACCTTCCATCTCTCCATCATGTCCACCAGCTCTCTACCTTTCCCTGTCATTGTGCCAATGTTAAGAGTCCCTATTCTCAGACCTATACTCCTGCCTTTCCTCTTCTCTGTCTACGAATCCTTCTACCTCCTCTCCTTCTTCGACCAACAGTAGCCCAATTTCTGCCAGCACCCTGTAGGTCAACAGGACTGGTGGCAGTCTTTGTTAACCCGAGCCTCGACTGATCCGGTATGGAGTTCACACTGATGATTCGCATGTTTAAATTTGGCATGTTTTTACGCCGGATGCCCTTCCTGACGCAGCCCTCTCTATTTATCCAGGCTTGGGACCGGTGCAGAAGTCACTGGCTTGCAACCCCTGTGGCTAGATTAATCTTTTGGAAGAACACAATACGTTAAAAAAATAAAACCACTGAAAATCCACTGTGCAAGTCAAAAAGCACTATAACATCAATATTTCATAAAAGAAACCCAGACTAACAATTATACACATTGCTACAATACAACAGAAGGTTGAACGTCTACAACCATAGCAGCTTATAATGGCTGCACAGATGCTTAACTCGGACTGTGGAGAGGGATAAGCAACTAATTTACACAACTGCCCTCCAATTATTTAATTACCATTTATTTAAAATGCGCTAATGCCTGGCTGAAACTGAATTCAACAGGCCAAAAATAAAACTCAAATAATGAGAAATAGCTTAATAATGTTAAGATCGAGAGAAGCAATTCAAACTAACACAAATGCCACCTTTATACTTTACAGGCTTAACACAAACAATGTTGACTTTAAGTTTAAATATGCCATTGATCATCATATCATACTGTATGTAGCCATCGTCTAACTAGAAGTCTAACCAAAAGAGTTAGTGAAAACACCTGCATTGGTCTGTGGAAGCTTTAATTAATTAATTAAAGCTATAACCGTCTGGGAATGTAGTGAAGTAAAAAGTAAAACATTTCCCCCTGAAATATAGTAAAGTATAACATATCACAAAAGAGAAATGCTTAAGTAGTGTTTGTACATGTGCAAATATACTTTGTAACTTTCCACCACTGCTAAAACATCACATAAACAGACTTTTATTAAAATTTTATCACCATGGCAAACACTGAAAAAAAGGTTTTCAAGCCAGCTACAGCAGCATCTGTCCATCCTCTACTTTCAGTATATAAATGTCTTCACGTCCCTGTTCAGTTTGAACATGTGACTGCTGCTCCTAATTAAGGATTGTTTGTTTGATGTTTGCCATATTTTGGCACAGGTTTCTAGACTTCCACCCTTGACACATTAACTTGTGTTGGTTTGCAGTTTTTGTAACCCGAGCACCTGCAGTATGGACACAGTAAACTGTTACTGAAAGTGCTGACAGCCAGATCTCTGAACTGATATTAAAAACCAATGCACTCTCCTTTGTAGCAGCCTTTGTTACTGGGATTAAGTTACAAGTCTTTTTAATCAACTTTCTTTATTGCCCGTCTAACAGTCCGTGATGTGTTCACATTATTTTGTCTAGCCTCTGTACTTTAGCCTGTTATACTGCCCAGCTTTACAAAAATGTGGCCAGCCTGAAACTGGAACAAAGCTACAGTAGTGCTCACTTCTTAATTTAGACCACAGACTATGATTTGGGCAGTCTAGTGTAGTACATTTATCTTACCAAAATACTGTATATATTTCCATTTTCATGAAGCACAAAAGATTTATCAGTCAGTCAAATCCAATGCCTATAGCACAGCAATACTGTGATTCAACATGACTTTATAAATCTCTGAGATCTGCCTTTATAACACCTGTAATCACCACTAGCACATGACCTGACTGACTAACCTCTCAGTATCTTATAATAATTTAAAAACAATGTGGCATAAATGCAGCACACAGGTCATTTTGATTCAAGTTTAGCTCACTTCACAGTAATTTAAGTAGAAGTAATTTAAGTAAACAGCTCAGCCATGGCTTCCCACACCTTAATGTCATATCTGAAAAAACTTAGAAAAAATCAACTGGACTTAGATTTCTAGGTCGAAGACGTTTCACCTCTCATCCAAGAGGCTACAAGAAGAAGGTTATAGACTGTTTACAGAAGCTGGAAAAGGAGGGAGTTATTGACCGGCGACTATACTACAGACTATACCCCAGGGAGGCCATCCCTTGCCTTTATGGACTACCCACAATACACAAGAAAGGCGCCCCACTCAGACCCATTGTCAGCAGCATCAACTCCGTGACTTACAACATAGCCAAGCACATGGCCACCATCCTGGCTCCTTTGGTGGGAAAC